CGGCAAGCGGTGATGACACTGGGAGTGGGGCATTGACTGCAACCCCCAACAATCACAGCTATTGTGCCCTGGAGCAATGCAGCTAACATATTTTCCCAAAAAAAAAAAAAAAAAAAAAAACGGAAGTCCTTGTTTCAATTTTTCTTTTGTTTTTACACTATGCCAGTGATGGCAAAAATGAAACGTGTGATAACCACCAGAACCATAAATGGACCTTACTGCTTCACATGATATTCAGTCTTTAAACATCACTAGGTGACAGTGCTGCAGGTGATTAGTTTTACTTTTAGTTTAATTAAACAGTTAAGTTGATGACCACATTAAGTGACTTCCTCTGGAAGAGGAAAAGAAAAAAAAAAAGATTTAACAATGGATGCTCAATACCACTTCTTCTCCTCAGACCAAGACCAGTAAAAGTTTTCACTCTTTTGAGTATCCACCGAAACAGAGTACAGATACCTCCAGTACTTTTGATATATGATTTCATATCGGTGGCTGGTACTGTCTTGGCAGCCTCCTCAAGTACCCAATACCTTAAAATATGGCCCGATACCTGGTATCGGTACTCGCCCAGCTCTAGTTTTAAAACAAGAACAACCTGGAAGTCAACCAGGAACAGATTATGTTCCACATTGGACGGTCACACCAATATTTTTTTGTGCTTTGCATCTTCAAAGTAGAAGCAACTGTTTGTGGGGTGGGGTTTAACCTTGAAGGCCCTTTTATCTTCTCGCCCAGTCATTTTTTCTACACAAATGCAACAACTCGGAAAAATATGACGATCTACGAGCTAAAACGTGAAATCACTTTCCATTGAAATGTGAAGTTTCCCTCAGAAGGCTATGTCCCCACATACATCACTAGTATTGTATTTCCAAATATGTACATTACATCCACATGTAAACACATTTGCGCATCGCCGTATGCATGACGAAGCACCAGGTGGCACGACGGCCTTGAAATGGTTGGCCAATCGGAAACATTTTGCATGAAATAGAACCCTGCAACTTTGGTGAGATGAGCCAAGAGAGGGGGGGGGGGGACCACCACATGTGGACTGACAAGATTAAAATGTTGGGATTTCCCTTTTGATCGGAGCCATTTATTAACATTTTTGGGACATGGGAGGTCACATAATGCGTGACGTCATTACAGCCAGTATCGGAGGATTTACGGTGCGGTGGAGGAGACGAATAAGGCGGGGCACGAAGGCGAAGAACATCCGCCGAAGGTTCTCGGACTCATTTGCAGCAGAACAACTCTGGCAGTGACCACTTACAGACATCTAATGAGAGTTTGTAGGCTGGGGAGGGGAACGATGATAACGGTTACTGCTTCATCTGCTTCCTGTCATACTTGTTCCCCTTTCTTGTCAGGACATATTTTACACAAAGAAAAACATTTGAGTATGTGGGGACAGAGTCTTGGTAACTTTCCCCATTTGTGGCAGAAATATGAATATGTGTGACTTATCTCAAGGCAACGCCAATGGTTGCAAAAGTTTGGGAATTTTCAACATTGGAAACTTTCCATGGGAATGAAGGAGAATGAACCCAGAAACTGATAACAATGAAGGTTGCCCCGATATAGAAAATTTAAAACATAGTTGAAGGAAAACATTTTAGTATTAAAAAAATAATAAAACAGCCAGATTTCATGCAACTACCTTGACTTACAAATTCAAGTTATAATTGATTCCTGTTTTGTGCTGCAAGCCAAAATTTGAGTTACGAACATGCTGTGGATACACAGTACAAAAAAAAAAAAAAAGCCCACAAAGTAGTACGTGTGTCGAAATAAAACTCGTCAGATCACTTCAACATAGTCCCTTGCAACCAAGCAGCTATTTGGTGAGTTCTATGTGAAAGTTTGATTGCGTAGATGTCCGCCGGCCTCACCTCCTTTCTGGCCTGCTCGAAGGGCGTGGCGCCTAGCAAGTGATGCGGCCGGATGCCGCGCCATCGCGTCCG